AAAAGCATATAGGTTCTTCAAAAAAAATCATTTCTGCTTAGTTTAAAGCAATTCATTTTTTATAAAATTCTCCCTCTTTTCAAGACTCTTTACACTCCAGAGTTTGTAGTTTCTTTTTCTCATTCATATTTTAATTTTCAATATCAAAGCATTGTGTTTTACCTACTACTATCTTTCTGAATAAGATGTGGAGTGTTTTAAAAGTAGATGTTTTAATTTTCTGGATTTTACTTTTCAAGTGGGTTTGGAAGTACTAATAACTCTGGAGATGTTAGTTGGCTTTCCAACTTTTAATTTTCAGTATAAACAATTTAAGCTAAGTTTTCCAAAATTAATATTAATTTAAACCATCTGTCCACCATCTGCTAATGTGAGATGCAAATGAGAATTTCTTTGTAATCTTTAATCAGACAGTTAGGAAAACACATATACATTCATAAAATGAACTTACATTTCTTAACAAAGGAAATCAAAAAAGTTATTCTGAAGGCCATGTATTCTTGGAGCAAAATAACTTTTGCTCCAATGTGATTTTATGTAAATGAATGTCAAGTGATAATAGGCAAGTTACCTCGTTTACAAAGATCACAAGGTAGAAACAATATCCTTTGCCATGTTTTCAAAAGAGAAAAGAATGCTGTCAGCAGTTGATGTGAAATATTGATTTAAGAAATTTCAGGCTTTTCATTTGTCTAAAACATAAATGGCAAAATGGGGCTCACTTCGGCAAAAAATAAAAATAAATAATATAAACACTACATATAAAACCTAAAAAAATTAAACTTTATAAATAATATACATACATATAATCATCCTTTTGAGCAGTAAATCTGAAATGAAGAAAAATTTTTAATGTCTTCTTTGCCAATCATTTCATTCTCTTCCATCTTTAGGAGTGGACTGGGTCTTACGATACTAACTTTAGTATTCCTGTATAACCTGCACATGATCCTTTCTAGCTCAACAGCCTTAACACTTTCTTCAAAATTAATTCTTTAGGAAGGTGAAGCAACATGATGCAAAGTATGTCAGTAAATGTTAAAAAAAAAATTAGGTCATTCACCCTGATGTCTCAAGACACAAGAAGTTTGACATCTGGATGATTTTAAAGTGAATTTTGTTGTTGGCATTTTAGATATTTGGTGCTGTACAGAGACACATCATGAGAATTCAGGACAACTATTTGACTCTTTGGAATAGAAATGCCCAGTCAACCAATATGAGATAAATTTAAAATTTAAAGAAATTTTCCATAATTATAAGCTTTTAATCTCAAAGCTTAGCTTGTTCTTCAAGAGAATTTTTTAAAACCTCAAGTTGAAACTATTAGGAAGAGTAGAATATTGACCAGCTTTGTATTGTATGAAGACGACCGCATTACATCCCTCCTGCCTTATTAGGGAGATCTCACTAGCTGTTGACAATGATGTACAGTGCTGCTTTGCTGGGGTGACGTCTAGGGGAAATGATTCCGCAGCACCACCACACATAACCAATTAGAGAACTATTTTCTGCGACAGGTCACGAATTGACGTGGTTTCTCATGAAAAGATGTACCTTTTAATTTCTTTATTAAGATGACATCCCTGTCCCTTGAGACTTTATGGGATGACAGTCATTTGCTCATCATGCAAGAACATATACTCACTGAAATCATATTATGGGACAAGAGTAGAGGACTCTGTTCCTCATTTTACATTTTTCAAGTGAGCCATGTTGCAAACTGATCATTAGTCCCATATATATTAACAGGATTTCTTGACAGGAATTTATTCAAACTCTAGTAAGCAACCAAAGGGAAGTAATTGTACATGTTGTCTACTGTTGAGTTAAAAAACATAACCATAGTCAAATTATTTAGACACTAGAAATTCAGCAAGTTTCTCAGTATCTAAGGTTAAGATACCAAGTGTCAGCAGAAACTGGTTGTTTTTTGAAAAGTGGATAAAATTATTCAAATATGCCACAAATTTCTACTTAATCATCTTAGGTTATTTTTGTATGGCGTATTAAAGAGGAAAACAGAAAATTTCACATTAGAACATAACGCTTAGGTTTTTAAAGTAACAGTGACTCTTTTTTTAAAGTAAAGAATATAGTTTTATATTATGACACCCAAAGCTCACTTAGACTGGAAACACTAGCTATGGCCTTTATTTGTATTGTAGAAGTATTTTGTCAACTCTGAGGTATTGGGAATTTCCTCATCAAATATTTATTGTGAATCAGTCAGTGCTGAGCTCTGGACTAAATGCTGGCAGTGGTGGAGCTAGAGAATAATGAAGGGAAACAGACAAGTAGACTAGCAAGAAATTCAGAATTTATTAAATGTTATGACAGAAGTGATACTAGGAGTAACTGGAGCCTGGAGAGGAGGCATCAAACAGCACAGAGAGGGAAAATGGTCAGTGAAGGCTTTGGGAGCAAGTGATACGACTGTGGCTTCAATAGATGAGATCATGTGAGTCATCCTGTGAGGATGACTCAAAAAGAGAAGAAAAGCATTCTAGCAGAAAGAACATCAAGAAAAAACAGAGGCACAAAAGGACATGGTGTGTGAGGAGGAAGCCTCAAATAATTCGGTACATTAATGGTGCATTAAACAAAAGGCAAGTAGTAGCAGAGATGAGGCTGGAGAGGTTGGTGGAGCCCAGATCTCAGCAATCTTTATGAGAATTACAGTAAATGTTTTTAAGACACGTGATTTTTTCCCCCTATTTCAATGTCTCTGAAATCAGAGTGCATACAATTACTATTGGAAGAGACTTGCCAGTGTCCAACAAAGGAGTAAGTTGTGATGAATCAAAGACTAACTATTCATGTGGGAACCCAACCGTACTGATGGCTTCATCCAGTTGGATTGTTTTTCTCTCCCAATTACATTAAGGTGGTAGCACTGAAATGAAGTTGCTCTATGTACAACAGGTGGCTTCTGATACTTGGCAGTAAGTTATAGTAAGGAGAAATTACCTAAATTCTTGAGGAATTGAACATAAAATTCCATGGCTGGTTTAAGGAAGGTAAACGGGTTGAGCAAAGACGGAAGCAATCATCAAGATGACCCAGCTAAGGAGAACTTAGAGTGGGTTAAAGAACCAGAAGGTGTAGTGCCAAGATGGGAAATAAAAGTGTTTCAAGAAGGAATGAGGGATCAGCATTATCAACCTAGGGAGAGAGGTCTAATCAGGTGAGGGTCTGTTAATGACCACAGCAAAGCCCACAGCTAGTTAGTTAGGAGTTCTCCAGGAGATAAGTAACTACCTAGTGGCTGCAAATACAAGTAACTCTCTTGAAAAATCTGGATGCAAAAGAAAAAAAGGAGTGAAAAGTAAACTTAAGCATGGTTAAAAACTAAAGGTAAGGACCTAAGAAAGAAAAAAAATCAAGATAAACATGTGAGAGGAGTAAATAATGAACCACTATCTCAGAGAAGGCAGGATGTAAGGTCGTGGGGACAAGAAAATGGATTGTCTTGAATGGTCTTTGAAATTGGTGAAATGGTGTTGAGGATAGTTGTGAGACATCTGGTAGATATGAAGGAACCTGAGTGAGATCCTGCCTGACGTCTTCAGTTTTCTTAGGAAAAAAAGGAAGGAGACTGAAGTGTGTTACCACAGCCCAGTGAGAGATGGGGAGCTGGACACAGCCTTTACTGCCCTCCACAGGCACATCTAGCTGGAAGTCTGAGGGCAAAGCAGTGTGGATGATCTACTTCTAGGACACAGGACAGAGTCAAGTGATGAAAAGGAAGAGCTAGATGAAGAAGACTGTGCAAAGATGGCCACAATAAACTCCTTCTATCCCTCCTCAAGTGTTCCTTTGCAGTGTGACTGCCACTCCACCCAGGAAGAGGTGGAATCTATTTCCCCTGAATCTGGGATGCTTGTCTTGCCCTGACTAACAGAATGTGAGGGAGTGAGGTTTTGTAGCATCTCAGCATACAAGAGGCCTTGTGGCATTTCCTCTTGCCCTCTTGAAACACTAGCTGCCACATAAGGATGTCTTCCTGAGGATGAAACATCATGTGGACAAGAAGGCCCAGCCAGGCAAGCTGGAGCCCACGCTAGACCAGCCGGCCCCAGTCAAGAAGCCGGATAACTCAAGCCACAGAACTGATCCAGGTGAGACCAGTTGTTTTAAAGCATGAAACTTGACAGTCTGTTACACAGCAATAGGTAGCTGATACAGCTGGACAACATAGGTTTTAAAGGAGGATGAACTAGTAAGAACATTCCAGCTTTTCCTCTTAGCCTTATAATGTTGGGATATGTAGTAATCTGTTTATTTTTCTTATTTGTAAATGTTTTATTGAAGTTAGGAAAATAAAAAACGTTTTAAATTAAAAATATATTAGTGGGTTTCTAGGGATTCAGGGGGATGGGAAGAGGACTGATTACGTGGAACATAGGATTTTTAGGGCAGGGAAATCATTCTGTGTGAAACTGTAATGATGGATACATGCATAACATTCTGCATTGGCCAAAATTGAAGAACTGCACAACACAAAGAGTAGACCCTAATGTAAACCACAGACTTTTAATAATGTATCAACATTGGCTCATCAGTTGTAACAAATGTATAGCACTGATATAAGATGTTAATAATAGGAGAAATTGTGATCAGGGGAAAAAGACCTGAGATGTGGGAACTCTCTGTACCACATAAGATCAATTTTCTATAAATGTGAAACTGCTCTACAAAATAAAGTCTGTTAATACATTCTAGCTTTTTTTTTTTAACCCTTCTTAAAACCAAGGCAAACCAAATGAGAATGAAGATGATGGTAGGAAAGAGGGGCTCCCTAGGTGCCCTCAAGATGGTTCTATAATTCGGTTATTAATGTGAGGATTATTATGCTCAAAAACATAGTTTCTTTTGTATGAGTCTAGAAATAATAATATACAAATACTTCATATTTTGCCTACGAGAAAAATATAGTAACTTTAAAGAACAAATGAGAAATCATGATACATGTGAGGTGCTTATACAAGGCTGCTCACCCCCAAGGAGAATGGTGAAAGTGTCACCATGTTGCTTTTGAAGAGTTCTCATGAAACCTAAAGGATCTTTATGTAATTTCAGGATTTCTCCCAGGTAAGGAAGCCAGCCTTTTATCAATGGAGGCTCACCAGGTCTCCTATAAGAAGAAAAAAAAGTTTAAAGAAAAATCATTAAAGCATTCTTATTGTAATACATGTGAATTATTAATCCAGTATAGAAGTGAATGGATGAATTGCACAGCTTTCCTTCAGTGATTCTTACATAATCATAGATGTGTTTTTTAAGTCCCTCCAGTATGTATGGCTCTTGGGTAGACAGTTCAATCCACAGATTGTGGTGAGCAACTTTTTAAAGAAATTTTGTCTTCTAAGGCCCAAATGGCTGGCTGAAATGACAGACACATCCAGTAAAGACTTTGTGCATGAGAGCGTTTGCTGCACTAGGGTGTTAGATATCAGGTCGTGTAGTTGCCAAAGTAAAGCTCTTTGTCATCAGATGTCAATGAGACTGGAATTACATCATTAAGAAAGGGGCAATTAATATCTTGAAGAATCTTTCATGCTTTTAAGAACAATAAAAACGTTAACATTATTTCCATGAAGTATATTTTCTTATATTCTTTTGTAAAGTTTTTAATTCTAACTACAAATGTATAGGAATATTTGTTAAATTTTGCAGGACATGTTTTTTTTTTAACATATGAAGCCTGTTCTATGAAACATTGCAACACAATGAGTTAAAAAACAAATTTCTTCTTTTTTGACCTATAATCGTAGCAAACCTGACTTCAAATTTCTTCCTAGTTGTTTATTTGGTGAACTTAATCTGATTTAAAGTAAAAAAAAAAAAAAATCCAAAGCCATTTTATCCTAGAAGGGATTAAAACAAATATTCAAGAGAACTCTCATGATTCTCTATCCCATCTGTGATGATGACTTATAGTGCATTCAGTGCAACCCATTTTGATTAATCACAATATATTACTAGATCAGGTCTAATCAAAGATCAAGATTATGATCATACTCAACATGGACTTTTATGTAGCTAGATTAACCTTATCAGAAGCTTTTATTTTCCCACCATCCAATATGGTAGAATTAAACCTAAAAAATAAACAGATCTTTCAGGGGTAAAGAAATAAAATAAAACAAAAGAAATCCAAGGTGTGATAGAAATAAAGGAAATAGGCCCCGAAACTTTGCGCTTTCTATGTTTTGGGAGACAATTTATTTTCACAGAAATTCACAAAATGTATGCTGTTGTTTAAATACTTATACTTAGAAATAGGAAGACAGAAACATTTCATAGAAATGTGATCTTAACTCGTTCTCCCTTTCTCCACTGTTTTCTTGAATGCAATCATTAGCAACAGAAACTTGCTTTTTTGGGAAATATAAAAGTGTGCCAAGAAAATATTACAATAGTTCATTTTATATCCAAAGATGAAACAAGAAGAAACTGAACATAAGATTTTAGAGCAGTATTTCCAAGACAGAAAATGTTAGAGCAGGCAGGGTTAGAAATCAATGCCTCTTTCAAAATTTACAAGTAATCTAGTTCACAAAATTTCCTTTCACTATTAACTCACTTTGTCAGTCTATTTTTACTCAGTTTTGTTTAATATTGTCTGAATGTTACATTGTGTTACAAGATTTTGAAAAGCTTTTTGTCAGATCATAATTTAATGCAACTAATTTCATCCTCTCTGCTCTTTCATTTAGTCAAAAGCTGTATTCTTCATGGGATTTCTGCAGGGTGAGAGGAGGATGGAACTATGGAAACCAGAGAATATTAACTTAATGTTCAGAGTTAGGGAAACACATTAGGAAGCCATTTTATAGTTACCAAGATGAAAGGGTCATCATTTCTGACAGCTGTGTTCATTTTGGCAGCAATAAGCTTAAAACGATAAATTACCATGTCACAACTCTGCATATTTTCAGGAAAAAAATAGAGTGCTAGTTCAACTGATGACCTATCAAAGCCTTACGACTCCTGTTCAATGTTATCTTAGAATTCCTAACTAAAATGAAATAAGACAAGAAAAGGAAATATAGATTTATACAGGTTGAGAAAGAAGAATTAATATTCTCTTTGTTTGCAGATAATAAGACCATCTATGGAAAAATCTCAAAAAAAAAAAAATCAACCAAAAAAACCCTCCTGGAACTAGAAGTGATTATAGCAAGGTAGCAGAATAAAAGGTTAGTACACAAAAGTAAATTGTTTTCCTATACATTAGTGATAAAAAAGTGGAATTTGAAATAAAAAAGTGTAATACCATTTACATTGGCATCATAAACATGGAATATTTTGATATAAGCCTATCAAAGTACATACAATATCTATATGAGGAAAACTGCAAAACTGTGGTGAAAGAAATCAAGATCCAAATAAATGAAGAGATATGCCATGTATACAGATAGAAGATTCAAGATTGTCAAGATGTCAGTTTTTCCCAACTTGACCTATAGATTCAAGACAATCCCAATGAGAACTCCAGAAAGTTATTTTGTGGACTTTGACAAACTGAATCTAAAGTTTATATAGAAAGGGAAAAGACCCAGAATAACCAATATAATATTGAAGGAAAAGAACAAAGTTGGAGGACTGACACTACCTGACTCCAAGAGACTTCCTATAAAGGTACATTAGTAATAAAAACAGTGTGCACTGGTGAAAGAAGAGACAAACAGATCAATGGGACAAAATAGAGGGCTCAAAAATAGACCTATACAAACAGCGAGTCATTCTTTAACGAAGGAGTAAAAGTAATTCAATAGAGAAAGGCTGGTCTTTTCAACAAATGGTACTAGATCTGGGCATCCACTTGCAAAAAGTATGAATCTAGACACAGTTCTTACACCTTTCACAAAAATTAACCTGAAGTGAATCACTGATCTAATTATAAAATTCAAAACTACAAAACACCTAACTGATAACCTGGAAAAAAGTCTAGATGACCTTGGGATTGGTGATGACTTTTTAGATATAACATCAAATGTATGATCCATGAAATAAAAGGAAAAAATATTTCATTAAAATAAAAACACCTGCTCTGCAAAGCACACTAAGAGAATAAAAACCCAAGCAGCTCACTGGGGAAAAACATCTTTGCAAAATACATGAAATACATATCTGATAAAGAACTAAATTAAACACATAAAATAACTCTTGAAACTTAACAATAAGAGAAAAAACAATTAAAAATGGGCAAAAAATATGAACTGGCCCCTTCCAGAGAAGTATATACTAATGGCAAATAAACAAACGAAAATATATTCTACATGGTATGTTGTCAAAGAAATGCAAATTAAAATGATGAACTACCATTACCCATCTATTAAAATGGCTAAACCCCAAATAATGACAACCCCAAAAGCTGACAAGGATGTGCAGCAACAGGAACTTTTATTGCCGGTTGGAATGCAAAATGGTACAGCCACTTTGGAAGACAGTGTGGCAGTTTCTTTCTTACAAAACTAAACATGCACTTACTCTACGACCCAGTGATTATGATCCTTGGTATTTACACAAACAAATTGATAACTTGTGTTCACACAAAAACCTGCACACAAATGTTTATAGCAACTTTATTCAAAATTACTAAAACTTGGGAACAATCAAGGTGAATGGATAAACAAACTGGTAAAACTCAGGCCAAACAAAAAATACATGGAGGAACATTAACTACATATTGCTAAATGAAAACTAATCTGAAAAGGCTACGTATTGTGTGGTTACAATTACATGACATTCTGGAAAGGCCAAAACTATGGAGATTTAAAGATCAGTAGTTGCCAATTTTTTTTAGGAGGAGGGAACAATGATTAGGTGGAAAATGGGATTTTTATGGGGGGGTGAAACTTTTCTGTATAATACTATAATGGTGGTATTATACCATTATAATGCACATTTGTCAAAACCCACATACTGTACAACACAAAAAGGGATCTATGATGTAAACCTTAGGACTTTATTTACAGTAATGTTGGCTCAGTTGTAACAACTGGACCATACTCTCCCAAGATGTTAATAATAGGGAATACCAGGGGAATAGGAAGGGGGGTCTATGGGAGCTCTGCAATGTCCTCCCAAATTTCTATAAGCTTCAAACTGCTCTATCTAATTAAGCCTACATATATATCCATATATATGTAAATGTATATATATATATATATATATATAAAATGAATATAAACTGATATATCAGTTTCTTAATTCTAGGCATTAGTATTGGTCAGTGTGTAAAGTGGCACAAACTACACTATTTTTTTTAGAGTAAAGGGTTCTAGGAACCAAAATGAGAAAATCACTGTGGATCACATCCAGCCATGAAGACCCATTTCTTGCAATGACTTCACCAGGAGCCATTATTATGGAATCCCAGGCACCTCCTCAGGACCCTGGCTGGGCAGAGGATTGTATACCTTCTAGTTCAGGAAGCTATTTTTTAGTGACCTGAGGGACTTTGGCCAAAGTTATTTTATTCCTTGGCATTGCAGGGTTTTTGTCTACTTATTTACTAATTTTTCTACTTTTTCTTTCATCTTTTTCTCATGTTTTCTTTTACTCACTCTTTCTTTTATTTTTTATTATTTTTCTCATTCTTTTTCTTTATTCTTTTCACATTTTTTCTTTAGTTTGTTAATATGTGCTTTATTTTTAAAGATATTTGTTTAATTTTGTTTAAAAATTTTAAAAATCTGCTTTAAAAATATTTTAAAAAAGATTTGTTTACCTTTACTTTTCTTTGGCATTAGGTTGATTCCATTACAATGATCAGTTTTTCAGGTGGGCTTTGGAAGTGATTTTTTGGGAAGCAATTCAGATTAAGTTTCTCCCCAGCTTTTCCCAATTTTAAACTGACCTTAAGTCACTTTGCCTCCAAGTGCAAGAGTAAACGCAACATGCAGTGGCACCTCTCAGCCATCCCTGCTGAGGGGAAGAGGCCACGACCATAAACAGGGACACCTCTGCCAGGGTGACACTGGCCCGACCCATCCTCACTGGGAACCAGCTGACCATGAAGGTCATTAACAAGAGTCCACAGAATCCTTCTGGCTGCAGAGACTACCCCACAAAGTCAAAACAAGGAAGGCCTTGGGTCACCCCGACATCATGAAATTATTTGAG